TCACAATGTAATCACAAGAGGGTAACTGATCACAACTCTCTAAGTGTTATTGTTTGTGTGAGACTCTTGATTCACACTAAACGCACTGATCAGTGGTCCTTTGCTGGTTATCCTGGCTAAGTGAGACCTCTCTAGAGTCAATAATCTCCCAACGCCTACAGCTCCATCCCTTCACTGGCCCCAGCACAAAAAAAAAACGCTGACCTAGTACCTGCTCCTTGATCACCTCCTCGATGAAGCAAAGCAAATGGTTGTCTTGCTTCTTTAATCATAAAAAATCAAACAGTTACACTAAGCTTTACTAAAGAATAAAGTGGAGCAGGATTTTCTCTTAATTGTCCTTGCTAATAAGAGATGTACTGCTCTTAGAAAAATTCACGTTGCAACACGCCCCTCAATGACAAGGTCATTTGACTCACCATACCGCATCTGTATCAATACTCACTCTAAGCATAAACAAGAACGCTCGCCCCTACTAGTGGCCCTCAGGGCTGAGAGGCTTGAAGGCTGACGGGGGGCTGAAAGGGGGCTAGACCCCCCTCCTGGGTAAATTTTTCTCCACAAAATAAGCTACTAATGAGACATTTTCATTTATGACCAGTAAATAAAATCGACAACAAAAAAATCAGACAAGCGCATAAAGCCGCTCCATCAGGGATACCCAGCAAACTTAAGTCTTGGAGAGCCAAAAAATAACCTATGCAACAGTTTGGTATCTTTATTTCGAAACGTTTCGTCTACACAGTAGCTTGTTTCTTCAGTCGAGTACAGAAACGTTGATAGAAGAGACGTGAAGACCATATAATCAGTCCATCACCCTTGAGGTTTTGAGGTGGTCAGTCCCTCCGTCTGGAGAAGAGTATTGTTTCAGACTCTGGAACAATACTCTTCTTCAGACTGAGGGACTGACCACCTCAGAATTTCAAGGGTGATGACTGATTACATCGCCCTTCACGTCTCTTCTAGCAACTTTTCCTGTACTTGACTGAAGCACCTACTGTGTAGGCCGAAACGTTTTCGAAATAAAGATACATAACCTTTGCTATGTGTCTTATTTACCCAACAACTGTCGTAGTTTATACAATTTTAAGCATTCAAAAATAATTCTTTTACCGTTACAGTCACCCATAAGTCTAAATTCATTTAATATTATATCTAATATTTTATGCCATATACTTACATATAATAAGAATATTTGACTGACAAATATAAACAAATGATTTATTATTTACAAATTACCGGACCTGGTAGTGTTGATGCCTTTCTTCAGATTTCTTCATTATATTGCCATCGCTTTAACCTCCTGTTCAGCAGTCCGATCTGGCTATTTTTCATCTGTTCTTGTTTCATAATTCATTACTTTCTCTGATGTAGATTCTTTAGAGAAAAATTTGGCAATATAGTAATTAACCTAACTCGCAACGTAAAAAAGATAACAAATACGATTAACAATACAGTAAATATTATATATATATAAATCAACACTGATTTTTGTCTTTGTTGATGTGAGAAAACATTAAGCCGCTACGTGAAGCATAATGACAATAAGTATATAAACCTGAAGTGGAGTGTTTGTTTATAAGGATGATGAAGCGAGGTGTGAGTCAATACTCATCACATCCTGTACGAACAGAGACTTTCCTACCAGCAATTTCAGTTTAAACTGTAAAAATGCTTTCTGTAACAGTTTTTTTATCTCCGTGTAATATGGGGTTACATCCATTTTAATCAAGTATTTGGAATTTCGGTGGATCCTAGCAGCATGTTCAACGTGTCCTCGTCGCTGTATAACAGTTTCTATGAAGAATTAGTGCAAACTTCTGTGGATGAAGATGACTTCTCTTATATCCCACGATTAACAGTAGAGGGATTGGTGGTTATACTGAATTTGCTATTGTTGTAGATCAAGATACCTTTTTTGGGTAGTGTCGAGTCTGAGAGAGCTGGTATATAAAGCTTGTTTTCAATTCCTAATGGAACAAAGAGGAACGTGTTCCCGGCCTTGAACCATCCTTCTCCCGAGCTTACATTAACCCCTTTCATTTCAAAATCGAGGACTGTCGACGAGAACTTTACGTATCATCTACGGTTTCAGACCCAACACTGTCGATTAGAGGTACAGATCTAATTGTCGGCTTCTCTCTTCTCCATCTTATCTTTCTCATTCCACCTCCTTTCCCACCCCTCTCTTCCCTCCCCTCTTACCCCTCCCCCTTTTTTGGCTACATTCAGCACCTTGAAATTATAGCTCCTTGCTTGAAGAAACAGTATCATTGTCCATCCCATCTAAGGATGTGTTGATCTGATTTCCGGAGATCCGGAGAGCGGCTTTGAGTGTTTTCAAGTTGACGGGTGTATCTCTGGAGGCTGTGTGTCGGTTCCGGGAGGTGGAGGCCGAGGCGGTAATGCCTCTCGTCAGGTTTTCGACCGCTCTGACTTATGTCTACCGAGGTGGCTCGGTGGATGTGAGGTTGTTATCCAGGATTAATCGTTTACTTTGAATGAGTTTCGAGAGTTTCTGTACTCTCTGAGCCCGGGAGTAGAGTAGGGATTGCGTTGTATGCAGCATCTGCACTAACGGCCGCGCCGAGGGTCATCTTGGACGTGGAGTGGGATATACAGTCTCTTTTTGTTTCTTCTTTGAGAATGAATCACTTATTCAACATTCATCACTGGCTGGTGAAACGTCGTCACAATAAACATTCCCAAAACTTGCACGTCTCATTCTTCAATCAGTCGTTCATTTAAATAATTTGTATTGTTTCTCCATGGAGTTATCACTTCCCGCACTTCCTTCATCATCAGCATCTTTACCTGACCCCAGCACGTACTAGGGTACACGTACACGGTACTAGCTCAGGTACACGGTACCAGTGTCAGGTACACTGTACTAGTGAACATTAAAATGGTATAAAATACCGACAGGTTGTTAGGTAAGACACATATGCAACAGTTAGGTATCTTTATTTCGAAACGTTTCGCCTACATAGTAGGCTTCTTCAGTCGAGTACAGAAAAGTTGATAGAAGCAGAAGAGACTTGAAGACGATGTAATCAGTCCATCACCCTTGAAATTCTGAGGTGGTCAGTCCCTCAGTCTGAAGAAGAGTATTGTTTCAGACTTTGGAACAATACTCTTCTCCATACTGAGGGACTGACCACCTCAAAACTTCGAGGGTGATGGACTGATTACATCGTCTTCAAGTCTCTTCTGCTTCTATCAACTTTTCTGTACTCGACTGAAGAAGCCTACTGTGTAGGCGAAACGTTTCGAAATAAAGATACCTAACTGTTGCATATGTGTCTTACCTAACATACACTGTACTAGTCTCAAGTACACGGTACTAGCTCAGGTACACGGTACCAGCTCAAGTACACGGTACCTGAAGTCACCCATCTAACTCACAGGTATCTTATTGTAAAACACTGAACACTGCCCTGTGAGAACTGCCAAATTATATTATCAGTTCATCCTCTCTTAATAGATTGTGCTGTCTGTCAGCGGGCATACAGATGTTACTTCTGAGGTCTTCATTTCTCTATCACACTCAACCTGACCTCCTCGCTGAAAGTTCCACCTCTGACACAGACTCCCTCTTGATTACATTTTCCCTTTAGTATTCTCACTATCTTGCTAACTCTACTTCATGCACATGCTTACCACTGGTCTCTGGCCTTTGCATATTCCTTCTTAAGTACATTCCATCCTGCAGTGCTATACGACCCTTTCGAGTTTAGTGCTTAGTTTAATTACATTATTATTTCTTAGCTACCATGAAAGAATTTACCAAACAGAAAGATCATCAACATAACTTTGTTTATGCAGGAAACACACAGTTTTTTTTAGTCTTTGGGACTAAATCTATGTTTACTAATTATTGAGAGACCTCCAGAAGCATATTTCAAAACACTGGTATACCAGTTTAGTGCACAACTTGTAAAGTACACTTCATTGTCCACCAAAATTTTCTGCATCATTTGTTACAGAGGAATGGAGCCCAAGTGACTGCCATGGAAACCAACATTCACTGGAGATGGAGTCCTGAATCAGCCCTCAACATTATAAAGAAATTTTAACACAATATTGGTATACACAGTTAGCAAAACCTCTGACCAAAAGACTTCTGGGATGTTTGGTAAATGATGTGATGACACCTCACCTCAGTTACCAGTCACCTCACCTCAGTTACCACTCACCTCACCTCAGTTACTACTCACATCACCTCAGTTACCACTCACCTCACCTCAGTTACCACTCACGTCACCTCAATTACCACTCACGTCACCTCAGTTAACACTCACTTCACCTCAGTTACCACTCACCTCACCTCAGTTACCACTCACCTCACCTCAGTTACCCACTCAACCCTCACTCCTCAGTTACCACTCACAGTCACCTCAGTTACCGTCACCTCACCTCAGTTACCACTCACCTCACCCCAGTTACCACTCACCTCACCTCAGTTACCATCTCCTCACCTCAATTACCACTCACGTCACCTCATTTAAACACTCCCCTTCACCTCAGTTACCACTCACCTCACCTCAGTTACCACTCACCTCACCTCAGTTACCACTCACCTCACCTCAGTTACCACTCACCTCACCTCAGTTACCACTCACCTCACCTCAGTTACCATCACCTCACCTCAGTTCCTACCACCTCTACACTCACCTAAAGTTACCACTCACCTCACCTCAGTTACCACTCACCTCACCTCAGTTACCACTCACCTCACCTCAGTTACCAGTCACCTCACCTCAGGTACTTCACTATATACGCACCAAACATTCTCTCCCTGGCATGTCTATCTTTCACGTGATAAAGCCCTTCGTGTGGGCGAAACGTCATCAGTAATGCTTCCACGTACTTACATTTGCCTCTTTCACATCTAGTTGGTATTTCACACCACTTTCTTGTTAATTAATGACTGTTTCCTGGCATTTATTTTAAACTTACTCTGAAAGTATGAAGATAACTTAAAAAAACAGTATGCTTACTTGATTTAGAGAAGTTTTCTGGCTGTTTTCACTGAGTATCTCGGCCATGTGAGTCAGCTGTTGCTTAAGATCATTAATGGTCTTCATATTAGAAACGTCCTGCTCCAGAAGCTGTCTCACAAGACCCTCCTGCTCCTGTTGTGTTATGCATTTAGATGTCGTATTAATGTTGGTAGAATTACCGATTATATGCAAAGTAAAATGGCACAAGTGCAACTAATGTGACATTTTATTGTGGCAACGTTTCGCTCTCCAGGAGTTTTATAAGAACATGAGAAAGGAGGAACACTGCAGCAGGCCTGTTGGCCCATACTAGGCAGGTCCTTCACAATCCATCCCACTTATAAAACATTTGCCCAACCCAATTTTCAATGCTACCCTAGAAATAAGCTCTGATAACTCTATCCACTCGAATATGCAAGTCTCACTCAAATCCAACTCCTCTCACTCATATATTTATCCAACCTAAATTTGAAACTACCCAAAGTCCTAGCATCAATAACCCAACTAGGTAGACTGTTCCACTCATCAACTACCCTATTTCCAAACCAATACTTTCCTATGTCCTTTCTAAATCTAAACTTGCCTAATTTAAATCCACTACTGCGGGTTCTTTCTTGGAGAGATATCCTCAAGACCTTGTTAATATCCCCTTTATTAATACCTATCTTCCACTTATACACTTCGATCAGGTCTTCCCTCATTCTTCGTCTAACAAGTGAATGTAACTTAAGAGTCTTCAATCTTTCTTCATAAGGAAAATTTCTAATGCTATGTATTAATTTAGTCATTCTACGCTGAATGTTTTCTAACGAATTTATGTCCATTCTGTAATACGGAGACCAGAACTGAGCTGCATAATCTAGGTGAGGCCTTACTAATGATGTATAAAGCTGCAGTATAACCTCTGGACTTCTGTTGCTTACACTTCTTGATATAAATCCCAGTAATCTATTTGCCTTATTACGTACGCTTAGGCATTGCTGTCTTGGTTTAAGGTTGCTGGTCACCATAACCCCCAAGTCCTTTTCGCAATCTGAATGGCTAAGTTGTACATTATTTAACTTGTAAGTTGTGGACACTCCCGAGCTTCAGAACCTTGCATTTATGTACATTGAACTGCATCTGCTACTTTGCTGACCAGGTATTGAGTTTGTCTAAATCCTCCTGAAGTTCCCTGATATCTACGTTTGAATCAATTTATCCTACCTATCTTTGTATCATCGGTGAATTTGCTCATTTCTCAGTAACTCCCTCATCAAGATCATTGATACATATTATAAACAACAACGGGCCCAAGACTGATCCCTGTGCTACGTCACTTGTTACAGATCCCCACTTGTGGACGCTCTCTGCTTCCTGTCTGTGAGCCATGACTCGATCCACGAGAGCACTTTTCCCCCAATGAGTGAGCTGCCACTTTCTTTAACAGTCTTTGGTGCGGAACTCTATCAAAAGCCTTACTAAAATCTAAGTAAATAATATCAAATTCTTTATCGTGATCAACAGCCTCAAAAGCTTTACTGAGGAAAGTTAATAAATTAGTTAGACAAGAACGACCTCTCGTGAATCCATGCTGAGTATCATCAATCAGATTATGCTTATCCAGATGGGTTCTTATAATCTCAGCTATAATTGACTCTAGTAATTTGCCTACAATTGAGGTCAGGCTTATTGGGCGGTAATTTGACGGTAACGACTTGTCCCCTGTTTTAAAAATAGGAATTACATTAGCCATCTTCCACATATCAGACACTACACCTGTTTGAAGAGATAAATTAAAAATACTAGTTAATGGTTCACAGAGTTCTATTTTGCATTCCTTAAGAACCCTTGAAAAAATCTCATCAGGTCTCGGCGACTTATTTTGCTTCAGTCTGTCTATTTGTTTCATAACCATTTCCCTAGTGACTGTGATGTTACATAATTTATCTTCTTCTGGCCCACTATAAAAAATTATTTACTGGGATATTGTTAGTGTCTTCCTGTGCAAAAACCGAGAGAAAATAATTATTTAAAATCGAGCAAATTTCATTCTCTTTGTCAGTAAGATGCCCATAGTTGTTTTTAAGGGGACCTATCATATCTCTAACTTTTGTTATATACACGGGGAAAAAACTTTTAGGGGTTAGTTTTCGAATCCCTAGCAACTTTAATTTCATAGTCCCGTTTAGCTTTTCTTATCCCCTTTTTAACGTCCCTCTTAATACCTAGAAGAAGCGAATATCTTGAGTCAGCTAAATGCTTGTGTTTTTACATTTAACGAATAATTTATTGTGATGATGACAACTCTTCAAGTAAACAATGAAAAATATTCATGAACGATATTTGCAACTTTTGATCTTGTAAGTGAAGATACAGTTATTGGAGAGGTAATGATACGTGTATGAGAGGTAATGATATACGTATGAGAGGTAATGATGCGTTTATGAGAGGTAATGATATACGTTATAAGAGGTAATGATACGTGTATGAGAGGTAATGATATACGTTATAAGAGGTAATGATATACGTATAAGAGGTAATGATATACGTATAAGAGGTAATGATTCGAGTATGAGAGGTAATGATATACGTTATAAGAGGTAATGATATACGTTATAAGAGGTAATGATATACGTATAAGAGGTAATGATTCGAGTATGAGAGGTAATGATATACGTTATAAGAGGTAATGATATACGTTATAAGAGGTAATGATATACGTATAAGAGGTAATGATACGTGTATGAAAGGTAATGATATACGTATAAGAGGTAATGATACGAGTATGAGAGGTAACGATTTACCTATGAGAAGTAATGATATACGTATGAGAGGTAATAATATATGATAAGTAAAAATATAGGTAATGTTGCAAGATAATGTTTAATACTAACACTAACATATGACATGTAAACGTATAAATGCTGAGGAAAAACAATGAGAATAATGAATTAGAAAAAGGTGTAATGGGGAAGTTTTGGTCTCTTATATTTGCGTGTTTAGGGAGTTACAGTTAATGGGGAAAAAACAAGAAAATGTCATACGTATCATTCTCAAAGTTAATTTAACCGAAAATAACGTAACAAATTATTCCTTAACCTAATTTAGCAAACCTTTGCTTAGTATGCCCTAATTCAGGGGTAGTGAAACTAGAGCGTGTGTGCCCAAGGTCAGGTGCGTGCCCAAGGTCAGGTGCGTGCCCAAGGTCAGGTGCGCGCCCAAGGTCGTGTGAGGGCCCAAGGTCGTGTGTGTGCCCAAGGTCAGGTGCGTGCCCAAGGTCGTGTGAGTGCCCAAGGTCGTGTGAGTGCCCAAGGTCGTGTGTGTACCCAAGGTCGTGTGAGTGCCAAAGGTCGCGTGAGTGCCCAAGGTCGCGTGAGTGCCCAAGGTCACGTGCGTGTCCAAGGTCGTGTGAGTGCCCAAGGTCACGTGCGTGCCCAAGGTCGTGTGAGTGCCCAAGGTCGTGTGTGTGCCCAAGGTCGTGTGAGTGCCCAAGGTCGTGTGAGTGCCCAAGGTCGTGTGAGTGCCCAAGGTCGCGTGTGTGCCCAAGCTCGCGTGGGTGCCCAAGGTCGCGTGCGTGCTTAAGGTTGCACTCAAAAAACAAAACAACTGCTGGCAAGCAACATGTGTGCCCAACATGTGTGCCCAACATCTGTCCTTCTGGAACTTAGGATAACGGAGTTGTAATCAAGGTTGTCAGTTTATCTCTGTTTTGAAAAATAAAAATCAGGGTTAGAACTTACTGAACGAAGTGAATTATGGGTTCACAAGGCTACTTATGTACACAAGGCTACTTATGTACACAAGGCTACTTATGTACACAAGGCTACTTATGTTCACAAGACTACTTATGTACACAAGACTACTTATGTACACAAGGCTACTTATGTTCACAAGGCTACTTATGTACACAAGGCTACTTATGTACACAAGGCTACTTATGTACACAAGGCTACTTATGTACACAAGGCTACTTATGTACACAAGGTACTTAGTACACAAGGCTACTTATGTACACAAGACTACTTATGTTCACAAGACTACTTATGTACACAAGACTACTTATGTACACAAGGCTACTTATGTTCACAAGGCTACTTATGTACACAAGGCTACTTATGTACACAAGGCTACTTATGTACACAAGGCTACTTATGTACACAAGACTACTTATGTTCACAAGACTACTTATGTACACAAGACTACTTATGTACACAAGGCTACTTATGTTCACAAGGCTACTTATGTACACAAGGCTACTTATGTACACAAGGCTACTTATGTACACAAGGCTACTTATGTACACAAGGCTACTTATGTACACAAGGCTACTTATGTACACAAGGCTACTTATGTACACAAGGCTACTTATGTACACAAGGCTACTTATGTACACAAGGCTACTTATGTACACAAGGCTACTTATGTACACAAGGCTACTTATGTACACAAGCCTACTTATGTACACAAGGCTACTTATGAACACAAGGCTACTTATGTACACAAGGCTACTTATGTACACAAGACTACTTATGTACACAACGCTACTTATGTACACAAGGCTACTTATGTACACAAGGCTACTTATGTACACAAGGCTACTTATGTACACAAGGCTACTTATGTACACAAGGCTACTTATGTACACAAGACTACTTATGTACACAAGGCTACTTATGTACACAAGACTACTTATGTACACAAGGCTACTTATGTTCACAAGGCTACTTATGTACACAAGGCTACTTATGTACACAAGGCTACTTATGTACACAAGGCTACTTATGTACACAAAGCTACTTATGTACACAAGGCTACTTATGTACACAAGGCTACTTATGTACACAAGGCTACTTATGTACACAAGGCTACTTATGTACACAAGGCTACTTATGTACACAAGGCTACTTATGTACACAAGACTACTTATGTACACAAGCCTACTTATGTACACAAGGCTACTTATGTTCACAAGGCTACTTATGTACACAAGGCTACTTATGTACACAAGGCTACTTATGTACACAAGGCTACTTATGTACACAAGGCTACTTATGTACACAAGACTACTTATGTACACAAGACTACTTATGTACACAAGACAACTTATGTACACAAGGCTACTTATGTTCACAAGGCTACTTATGTACACA